CTCTTTTTGTTTCATGCAGGCCTGCAGGTTCTGATCCTTTCTCTCATGGGCGTGGGTTGACATGGGGACAATAGGGACATGTCCCTCACAAAACTATGGACCGACCTACTGGTCCCTACCAGTAACTCGATGTGAACAACATGCTTCTAATTTACACTACAGCGTTCTTTTCCTCTCGCAGCTCTGCTGCCAAAATTCGCCGTAAACTTGGATTCAGTTTGTAAGAGAAATTTAAGACGCTTAATTTTGATGTGACTTCCTGCAGCTTCCTCTTCCTGAGGAGATCCACTGGACGCCTGGCGACAGCAAACTTCATGACATGTCGGCGGAGGAAGTGGCCAATCAGCTGGTGGTGTTCGACTGGGAACTTTTCAGCTGCGTTCATGAGGTGAGAGGAGCCACTGATGAAAGCTTTAAAACCTGTGATGCTCTGATGAAAGAAAACTGAATGTAAGAATCGGAAAATCCCGATAAGAAAAAAAAAGTCAACTGAACTTTTCAGCGTCTGGTTGAGAATCGACACAAAAGTGAACAATCAAATTCTGCCCAAATAATTTCGTTTTGAAATGCGCCCCCTGCAGGTGGAGTTCATCTGTTACGTATTTCACGGCGAGCAGTCGCGCTGGCGCCCCCTAAACCTGGAGCTGGTACTGCAGCGCTGCAGCGAGGTGCAGCACTGGGTCGCCACGGAGATCCTGCAGTGTCAGTCGCTGCCGAAGAGGATCCAGCTGCTGCGCAAGTTCATCAAGATCGCAGCGCTGTGAGTCTGACGGCTCCTCTCTTAGCCTCAAACATTTTAATAAAGAAACATCCTCAGATTAGAATATTTTTAATTCCATCTTTAATTTTATACAGAAATTAACCTGAAAAGACTCAAAAACTGAAATAAAGAAAACGGATTAGTTTAACCCCCTGAGCCCAGAGGCTCTTAGGGGCAAATTCCACCTGAAATTCCATTAATCCAGTGAATTAAAGCAAGTTCAGCTCCCAAACTATACATTTAAATAGAATTGTTTGTGTTTATGTGACAGAAAGACATTGAGGAATATTTTCAGGTGGAACCGCTATTTTAAATGTCACCATTTCTGATTTATAGGTGATTAAACAAAGAGAAAATGAAAAATATTTAGCTTCGCCAATTTTTTTTACCAAAATAAACTCTGGAAAACAGCATGAAAGCTCATTAGAAACTCTGGATTAACCTCAGACCTAATAGATCCACATCTTGACTATAAATCAAGCTAATCTGGACTGAATAAGTTGAAGCATGTTTGTTCCACAAAGGTTTAATGGGCAGAGTGCTGGGAGGAAATGCATTTTTGCACTCATAAAAGGGAATCTGATCAGACAAATAAGCTGATTTCCATTATTGGAGACGTTCAGCATGAGGCAAAGTCTTTGCTCCTCAGATTTAGTCGTTGGTTCATTGAAATTTACCAATAAAATCACCAAACTGAATAGAAAATAAGAATAACAGAGCAGCTTATGTAACGCATGCCGGTTACATCACCTGAAATGGTCTCACAATGACCTCTGACCCCTCCTTGGAAAGGTCTGAGCCTCTAGTTTCCTAAGTGATGGCGGCCATTAGTGGGCGGGGCTAAAAATGAATACCTGCTGTTGAGTCACACATGTCAGGTGGAATTTTAAATCTTATTTTATTTGTTTACACAGCTATTAAACAAGAGGTACTTGCGAAAAAATTATTTTTGAAACATGTTTTAAAAAATTGGAAGGCGTGTGGATGAAACACCATGTGACTGTGTTTTGGCACGATCCTTGAAATCTTAATCAACAGATATTAATGTGATTCTGTTTGAACTGAATCCCTTGATTTATTCCTCAGCTCTTTGCTGCCTCCTGCTGTTGAAGCTGTAAAATGACATCTTTCTTCTACGTTTCAGCTGCAAACAGCAGCAGGACCTGCTGTCCTTCCTGGCCGTGGTTCTGGGTCTGGATAACCCAGCTGTCAGCAGACTGAGGCTCACCTGGGAGGTACGACCCGGCGCCGTTAGCGTCCATCGGCTGCTGCCCAACCGCAGCTGTTTCTATAATGAAATCTGTTCTGATGTGTTCAGGGTCTCCCAGGGAAGTTCAGGAAGCAGTTTCAGCAGTTTGAAAGCCTCGCTGTGAGTAACTGCTCAGCGTGCAGCCATCAGAGCGAGCCAGTCCATAAACGCCACGCTTACCTCTGACCTTTTCCTCCTGCAGGATCCCTCCAGGAACCACAAATCCTACAGAGACCTGATGACCAGCCTGAGGCCTCCGCTGATCCCGTTCACCCCGCTGCTGCTAAAAGGTGACTCACAACCTGCAGATTAAATTCTATTCAGTTTATTTCTATAGCTCCAATTCACATCATGTCATCTCAGGTCACTTTCCAGTTCACC